TGCTCCGCATGGGGGTGTAGAGGACCTGTCACACAAGGTTGGTGTGAAGCGTTCAGTGAGATAATTCATGTGAAAGCTTAGCCTACTTCCTGGCACACAGTAGGTATCCAAAGTAGTCATTCTTTGTTACCGCACACCTAAACCTCTGTTTCGTACAACCTCTCAGATCACGTATGTGGTGGCTGGGCATGTTGATTCTGATTCCTGGCACTCCCCGAGTAAGAGTACGGAAGGAACTGTGCTCCTGAGGGGTTGAATGCTGTGGCCCTCTGGGGGCGGACGGCCAGGCCTTTTGCCCAAGGTGCCTCTGAGTGGGTTTCCGTCACCAACCTTCCTGGTAAAATAGTCCGGCACGTAACCCATTTGTGTCACCGCCCCCACCCCTCGCCCGGGACTCAGAACTATGAAGACAGCACGTCACCAACGAAAGGGCAGTTGATCTTTGTTTTCAGAGGTCCCTGGACACTTGAAAACAGGCACGTGAGAGAGTAACTCCTGTAAACAAGGAAGACCAAGTGATAATTGTATTCTCCCTTACCAAAAAAAAAAGAAATCCATTTTCACCTTCAAGTACTTCATTGCTCAGTCACCCACACGTGCTACTTTTCCAGCAATCTTACAAGGGAATTATTTGCAGCTGATTATTAGCATTCAAGGAGGCAGTGGCGGTGAGCAGGCTTTTCTGGGCCTGTTGATAGCTGCCATCAGCGTCGGCTGCAACATCACTGAACTGTGAGTCATTTGGTGCTTGCGTGAATGTCACATTAGCTTTCAAGGGGCATAATTTACTGTTAATTAATGGTCACTTAAATCCTTAATCTCTCTTCTGTAATTGATCTTTCTCCTTAGGCAGATTTGCCTCCTTAGTAGAAATGCAATTTATTATTTCCATTTTAAACAAAGAACTCCTTCCCTTTTGGGTTTATTAAACCACGTTTCCATTTGCTTATTATTTTTCTCCTGCCAGGGCTTGCTTTTCTTTTGTCCCTAGTTCGAGCTCTCCTCTCTCTCGTTTATACTCAAAGACATTGAGGCAGTCGGAGACATGGAAATGTTCCAGGAAATCCGCTTGTGTCCACAGGGAACTTGCGGATGGTTTTCCTAGAAAGGATAGCAGAGGGGAGTTTTATAGGCAGAATGCATCTTCATTTCTCAGAATTATGTTTTAATTCGGTCCCAGGTCGTTAACTCCCTGTAATGTATCGAAGCATGTACTTTTCAGCGTTTCCCCAACTGAGACGTGAATTGGGGGCTTCCAAGCGAGGTAAAAGTGAAGCTGCCCAGAGAGGAGTTAGCAGCACTGGCTTCGCTTGGCGTTCCCGCCTCGCCTCCCCCTGTGGACCCTGCAAGAAACTGTCACCGCCCCGGTTAACCAGCACAGCCAAAGAGGGAACATCAAAGCACCTAAAAATAATGCCTGGCACTAGCCCCACCCCCCCACCCCGAGTTGTTCAGGCCACTGCCGGCGTCTGCATGGGTGACTAGTCAGGGAGTTAAAATGCTCCTCGGATTCCCAGGACTGATGATAACGAGTGACTATTCCGCTGCCCAAGACGAGTCTGCATCGACACCTCCGGCGTCGCGGTTTTAACGTTTCGGGCACCTTGACATTGGTAAATCATGGAGATTGCCGCGCGTGGCGGCCGGCCACACGGCGTCCGTCCGTCGTAGCGAACTGGGCGTGAACAGGACGGCCGCGCGGGGCGCAGACAGCTCATCCACAGTGTCCTGCGGTCCGCTCGAAGTAACCGTCCAAAGCGCCGGGCGGCCCGACGGATTCCATTCCCGCACGCGCAGGCCGGAGGTGTGCAATCGCCTGGTCCGACGGCTGAGCGAGGCGGGGCTCCCCAGGGCAGGCAGAGCTTGTGAACAAAACCTCTCTGCAATTCAGAGACAGCCCTCACAAATTTGTCACTTCCAATTGTGGGTGCTCATTTCTCT